AGAAACCTTAGGAACACCAGCGCGCTGACACACAGGTGTGCACACAGGTGCTCACGGACACGTGCTCACGGACACACACTGTCTTGATCGGCTGTTGTTTCTGGGCATGGGTTGTAAGGCTGGTTGTGTGTGCTGTTCAACAACATTTAACGTTTGATGGTCGTTGTGATTAGTACAGATGTTGTATGTTGTCTTTCTCTTTTCAACAGACATGGAAGCAGATTATCTGTTTTGTTTTTTTCTTGGTTTTTTTGTTTTTTTTTGTTTTTCTTTTGTTTATTATTTTTTTTCTTCTGTTTTCTTTCCATTCCTCTCTCTCCCTCTCTCTCTCTTCCCTCCTTCTCCTTTGTCCCCCCCCTCCCTCTCCTTCTTTTGAGGAAGTAAATAAAAATATAAAATTAAATAAAAAATAAATAAATAAATAATGATTAAAAAAAAAAAATAAAAAAAAATAGATACAGTCCCCCGCAGAGGGGGGGTGGAGGAGGGAATATAAAAAAAAAAAAAAATTGTGCAGAAGCAGCTACATTCATTTTAGGCAAGTTAGTTCTACAATTGCTTTGCTTTTTGGACAGCATGTGTTTAGTGATAAAAATCCTTAACGTTGTTGTTGCAATATCTGTCAGCCTTTTTAGGCCATATATATATTTGCATTTGAGAGAAATAACTTCAAGAAACGAAACACAAATAATTATGTTTATCATACGAATTTTTTTTTGCTTCTTAATGTAATAAAACTAGATTGTCTTCCTTCACAGTGCACTATTTTTGTCAGAATTTTTCAGTTTTGTCAGAACATTCAATCTACAGTTTATTAGTATTTATTTTGTTGTTCTGTGTGTATTTTAATAAACTACAGCTAAAATATATAATTATTTTGTTTAATTTTTGCTTCATTATGTATTACATACAGTACAGATCCATAACTGACCAGCCTTTCACATTGGCAGCCTTCCCTAACTTACCTGGGACTGCTTTGTGCCCAGCATGCCTTCTGGTTTTCATTTTTGCCTGCTTACAGCCCCAGCAGACACTGACGAGAAACAGTCTGAGTACACCAGCTGATCATGTCCTTTAGCAGCCTGAAAGGACTCTTCAGCTCTGGGAGTAATCTTCAGATAAAAATTACAACAATGCAGTAATGCCAAACTCTCCTATAGTGTTTCATGTGGTTTGTTGTGTCTCCATTTTCCAATCTCTTTGAATATCTGTCGCAGTGCTCTGGCAGGTTATGCTATAGTTGATACTTGCCCCTCTGAAGGTCTCTGCACAGCCCTGGTCAACATCAGTATTTCATTATATATGTTAATATTATTGAGTCTGTGAAGGTAAATGAGTATTACTCTTAGAAAACTTTATTAAAGATATGAATAACATTGTACACTGTATAGAGTCCTTTATGATAGGAGAATAAATTCGAATTCATGTAAGAAATGTGTAAGAATACTGGACCATTTAATTTTCATTATATAAACTGTGGAGATCTGATTACTTGGCAGGGACACACCTGCTATATACAAAAGAGAAAGAAAAAAACAGTCCAATGCCTGAGCACACAACAGAACTGCCATCCATTGTGTGGATGCATCATTCATTTCTTTTGATTTGTACTGAAACTATTGAAATTCATACTTAAATCCCATGCTTTCTGCGTCCGTATTTCATAACCTGATCTAATAGACTTGGAGCTTATGGCATGAGGCCCTTCCATCCTGAAATGCTTACGTTTGTTTAGATGCCTGAGTGGTGCCCCACAAACTGTAGTCAAGCATAAGTCCTGAGCAGTAAAACATGCTGGATAATCATAAACATTAATGCAAAAGCCAGCAATTATAATGAATATATAGGTGAAAATAATGCACTGCTATAAAGCAGATGCTGTTGTCCTAGTGTTTTCATACTCTTTCCCTGGGGAGAAAAACAAAATATAATTGTTTTTTTGCAGAGTAAAGTCTATGGTAACACATAATAATTTGAAATACAAGAGTATTCTGCCTCAAACACCATTGCACATACAGTATCATCTCACAGTGTCTCGCTAGTGGAGGGAGACACTCCTCACCTTTTGGAAGCATTTTCCTCCTCCTCATGTAATGGGCGGCACCAATGATGGGGGGTGTGATTAGGGCCAGGAAGAAGACTGTCAATCTCACTGGAAGCTCTGGGAGAAAAGGAGGGACTTGTTTTCACCCTCCTGCATACACACACACACATATATATATATATGTATATGAATTGTACAACTTATTACCTTTTAATAGCTGATACTGTGATATTGTTATACTATAATTTACTGTAAAGTATCAGTTGAAGGATTTTTGTAATGTACAGATAATTGTTTATAAAGAGAAATGTCCGGATGGCTACCTCACCATACCTATGTTTATAGCAGCCATCTGCCTGTAGCCTGAGCTGTCTGTCAGTCGGATAAAAGACAAAAATTCACTGTTAGCAGTTTAGCTGAACAATTTCATCCATCTTCTCATACTGTGTAGGGTCTGGAGCCTGTCCTGACTGCTGAGGACGACAAGCAGGGGGACACGCTGGCTGGGATGGCATGGGTAAGGATGTCTTTATAATAAACACCACCTCATTGTGCATAAATTATGTTTATGATATTACCAAAAGGCACATGTACATTTTCCTCAAAATAACCAATCCAAAATACTGGATACATGTATACTGTGCAATTAAATATGGCATAAAGTTATAATACAGGCCTAAATATTAAATTTCACATGTAATATTTTTTTTGTATGATTTCCTACCAGATGTGTAGTTGTATGTGAGCGTCACCTTCTTCTTATCAAGGAGCTGACATCGCCATTTCGTCTGGTCGTTCTCTGTCCTCTGATGGTTAATCCGCAGAGTGGAGTTACAGGGGCCTGTGTGTGTCTGGGAGCTGAGATCTCTCTGCCCCAGTGGGTCTGTGTCACTAACCCACCGCAGGGACAGAGTTTGAAACGGGGGACGATCACACCGTCCAGGACCTTCATGGGTGTACAGCAGACACTGCAGTGCCCTGCTAGCCTCCAGCCCTGGAACTGGAGCAACTCGAGACGAGAACATGAAAGTTAGATATAGAGAGGAATTGCTATCATCATCATGTCCATCTCACAAATTTCTCTGCCTTTGTTTCTATATCTTAAACTGAAAATAATATTTCAGTTGAGCTGCACTTGTAATTTGGTGCCTTTTATTGTGATACTATATTATATTGCTGCTGCACCAATGAGTGACACACCCAGCCGTTCTCCCTTTCTGCACTTCACAAATTTTGCTCTCTGTGGTCTTGTGACTAGAAATTACATAATTCAGAAAAACACAAAGAACACGCAGACATATATCCTGATTGCTTCATTAAATACCCGAACGGATGTACAGCTGCTTGTGTGGAGGAAGTATAAAGATGTAAAACAGTAGCAGTAATGAGATTTCTCAGGGAAAAAGCAAACTTACTGGTAAGAACAGAGAGATAAACTTCGGCATCATCTCCATGCTTAAAGATGGTAACAAACTGCTGACATGTATAGAGCCCAGCATCTACAGTGCTGACATTATTAATGTGCAGAGAACAGTCTGCTTGCTGCCTCAGTTTCCCATTTCGGTGTGAGTCTTTGATTTTTCCACGATCAATCAGTACAATGCTTTTTTTACTTTGTAAGGGGTAATATATCCATGTGGTGGAGGAGCAGTCAGGATAAACCACATTGTAACACAGCAGAGTAACATCATCTCCCTCCCGGGAGTTTACAGCAGCTGACTTTACACTGACACCTGCGAGAGAAACATGGCAAGCAGGTCACTCACAGCCTGAGAGGCCTGGGCATGAACACAGAGCTGCAGTGATCGAATCTGCCATGAATGGGAACAGTAAGCAACGTAATACAGAGCTGAAGGATATTAGCTGTATTCCATTTTCACCAAAGCCTGTGTCTTACCTGAGAGGAGGAGCACCGTCATTATAAACCCAGCCAGAAACATTTTCTCTTCAGATGTGTCCTTCTTGCTGTTCCCGGTGCTTCTCGAATAGGTGATGTGTTCAGTTAGTTAATCTGAGCCACTGTTTCAGCTTTTCTGCAGTTTCCCCAAGTTGAGAAATGATTTCCAATTTAAGAAGCGAAACACAGAAGTTGGTCCAGCTCATGTTCCAACGGTGACTCACCAGTACAATTCAGTTTATTTCCTTATAGTGTTTTATTAATGCTTTTTTATTGCCTTATTAGTTCTTTATTGGTGCCTTATTCTTTATTAGTGTATAAACTATGGCTGAAAAATGTAATTGTGACAGCGATTGTGACGTCCCCCCCAAAACCACCACCACTGGCAATGGTCCTAAGAGCTGTTGAGGGCATCAGCTGAAAGAGATCGACATTCATGACAACTTGCGAGACTTGATGCATGATGTTGCAGAGATGATTAGTGTTGTGGATGCGACCATTCGTGGTTTTAGGGACATGCACCAACTGCCAGTCTTTGGCAGTTATGAATGGAGAAATGGCTATGGCCGTCTGATATGTCGTCTCAATATCACTACTTTTTAAATAACCATTGTGTGTTTGTGTGCTCTATTTACTATCATTTAGCATTTTAATCAGTGATTGATTGATAGCAATTATATAATTTGTAGTAATTGACTCACATCCCTCATTCTAAATGTTTTATGTAATCAGATATTTTTGCTTCCATGTAGTCATGCTATTGTTAAACTGATCTGCTTCAAAAGAGAGCAGAAAGAGAACCTCTGAAGCACTCCATGTTTTTGTCCAAAAGCCTGCTTAAGCTTCTGTTTAACCATCCCATAGCAGAAAAGCTGCCCCAGTCAAACAAGTGGGGATAATCCTCAGTATTTTGCCATAATAATCATGGCTACAACCTGATGATGCCTTAACAGCCACTTCCAGTTGCCTCACCCAGCAGAGGAAACTTTAGCTCCCGTCACCAGTAAAGGATGCAGGCAAGTCAATTCTCATGTTCATTGTCGGTAGATTGACCGGACTCTCCCTGGTTAAACATTAATGGATCCCCATTGCTGAGCCATATGTTGTGCGAAGTAATTGCTAATAATTGAGAAACTATTATGTATGCATGTACATATGAACATAGTCTGCATGGCTACGTCATGTATGCATGCATTTATGCATATATAGTCTATATGGTCACATTATGTATGAATGTACATATATATAGTCTGTATGGCTGTGTTATTTATGCATGCATACAGGTGGATATATTTATCATCCTAAATATTTTATCATTTGTATGTTGGGTGTATGACTGGTTGTCAGAGGGGAGAATGACGACATGATGAATGAGTCTTTTCAGAGTTTTATATTTTCTAATTATATTTACCACATCCCCAGTTGCCTGTCCATTATTTGGTCCTTTAACCTACCAAGACAGAGTTTATGAACTTAAATGAAATGTTAAATGTAACTAAAAATTGAGGAAAAAATGCTGTGCGTGTGCCATTTGCACATCTCCCATGTTCAGTAGGGTTCCTCACGAGTCAAGCAGTGAGTTCAGCAGAACTCTCAACAGAAAAGAAGAAAAAAATATGATATACACAGTTTAACATGAGTATGAATTATGAGTAACCTTGTTTGAGATATGAAAGCCAGCAACCTTTTAGAGGTAACGTAAGCAGCCAATTGGGCTTAGACACGCTGCCGCTGGAGTTTCACATACTTGTGATGTGTTCTGTGACGCAACACAACGATATAACGTGCCGTGTTCATCAATATTTACCCTTAAAACCAGTATTAATATAGTCGGCACGGCCATCAAACAGCCACGCTCATCCTTTGTAACTCTGCATGAATCAGAATACAAATGTAATAAAAAAGCAGCTGAAGGCCTTTCGCATGTGCAGTGTCAGCACCTATGAAGGTATCCGAGTCCACGAAAACTCTATCAGGTGCTTTTATGGAAGCGGGAGGTAAAAGCTGGATCTCAGCGGCTTCTCTGCAGTTCACGCTTTCAGCTCGGTCACCTCCCATCTGCCGTCTCCACAGAGCCTCAGTTTCATGTCGTGATGCTGCAGAGCAAAGGACAGACCGCCGCTGTGACTCCTGTGATAATTACCTACAGCTCGTCACCATCATTTATGTAGCCGTGCACCAGTGCTACGGATGTAACTTGTGGAGCAGGGTGGTGGCATCTGGAGGAGAATGACCTTGTCCAGGCTGCTGCGGTGACCCAGGCTCACCAGCGTCATGCCCAGCTGTTTACAGGCTCGGTAGAGCTTCCCCTCCGCCTCCTCAGTCAATGCGCTGGTGGCCTCATCCAGCACTAACACGAGACTCGTTAACGTCAGCAGACATGTTGCAAGTGGCCCCACACACTAGTGCTGGCTAACATCTCACGTAGGCTGCACACATGCTAAACCACACATTAGCTTACATTTCAGCCATATTGCCCAGACTCTGCTAGAGACTTGGTAACGTTAATGAGAGTCAGGCTTTGACCCTGACCTGCGTATTTGGGCTGCAGGTAGAAGAGGCGGGCGAAACACAGCCGCTGCATTTCCCCCGGCGACAGCACATCGTACCTGTATCATTAAACATGCATAGCTTTGCAGACATCACCACAGACTGATCAAACAAACCAAGAGTCTTATCCCACCCATCTGTGAAGACAGGACGGTGTCTGCAGACCCAAGAGGGTCACCCTACCAGTTCCAGTCCACTTCCTCATCCAGGCCCCCTGTCCTCTTCAAGAGACTTGACTACAGGACAATGACAGTGACTGTAAGCAAAATGCAGGGTCAGCATGGACCATGAGGAATTACACTCCAACTACTCACAATGCCGGCCAACTCGAGGAACTGAAGGATTCTCTCGTCGTCCACAGAGCCTGTAGAAAGAGGCCTGTCAGGTGCCTCTCCAGAAATTTACTATCAATATAATGAGAGTCCATCCCTACACAACCATATCACTACACAAGGCCTTTCCAAATGAATAAGCACATCTTACCCGAGACTGGGTATGTGTCCTTTAAGGGGTAGATAACCTATGAGAAATGGGAGGGAGAAAGACAGAGATTAGGACATGATGATTTCTTATTCCTGTTGGTGAAACTGGCATAATCTCATGAACCAAGACACCTGCTCTCTCAACGTTCCATCAGTCAGGTACGGCTTCTGAGGGAGAAACATAAGGCCACGGGGTCCAAAGAACGTGGTCATCTGGACAAAGCCTGCAGAACGGCACCCAGAGATTTACTTCAAAACTAGTAAGTCACCTGTGCTTCAAACACAACCTCCAGCATTACAGGGAAGCACAGCAGTTATATTCCTGTGGAGTTTATACATGTTCATTTACGGTAATATAATCCTTTAGCAGTTGGACTAACTTGTGATTTGACCAAAGGCAGAAGAGAGTAGAATTTAAAAAGGATATATAAAGTGAAAATACAAAAGCAGTAAAGGTGACATTCTCTCTAACCACTGGAAGACTCCCACAGCCTGTTGAGGACCCTCAGGAAGGAGGTCTTCCCAGTGCCTGTGTCGCCCACAACCAGGAGGTGCGTCCCCTGGCTGATCTTCAGGCTCAGGTCTTTCACTAGGAGATTGTCCGACTGGGGAGACTTGTAGGATAGCCGGTCCAGAATGAAAGCTGTATCCACATGGCAATGCGGGGCATCCAGATCGCTGCCAGGGAGAAGAGGACCCATCCGTGGGGAGTGTGACCGGAATATTCCACCCACTTCCCTGCCAAACATATCCCGGGTCTCACCTGTCAAAGTCATACGAATCCCCGGATGTAGGATCGTAGTCACACTGCTTCCGGATGATGTCGTCCATCACCTCCATCAACTCGCCAATCCTGCAAATGGTCACCCAACCATCAGGGATTGAAGGTCACAGTGTCACGTGACACTGATGCCTTGGATGAAACTTGGGCCGCTCCATGCTGTACAGGGTGATTAGCCATGCACACATACCTGTGGGTGTATCCAGCCACATCAGACAGTGTTGTGGACAGGTCCATCAGCTGAGTGAAGCAGTTTATCAAGTAGATGCAGACAAAAGCATTCTGGGAAAAAAATAGAGCATGACTATTGACAAGTAAATCTGTCAGTGAAAGAGGCACATTACGGACAATCACTCGGGCTGAAACTTGGGGTGTAAAGATGTATTAACGAACTGTGATCGGTTATTAAAGTCGTGATCCAACTGCATTGATCTGTGACTCAGAATCGGTTCTGATCAATTTTGGGGGGAAATTCCTTCTTAAGGATAATCCTATTTCTGGATTATGCACAATCACTCATGCCATGCAGGCAGACAAGCAAAGAAACCGGACTGCAGGAGCAGGTTTACTAATATTCATAAAGGCAATGCCTCTCTTTTGTAGCACAAATATCATTCAAAGTTACCTGCACACCTACTCAAATAACAGATGACTGCATTGGAGATCAGTCATGGAGGTTTCTGTGATGGTGGATGAGAGATCTCATTTGCACATTCATCACTTATTAGAGGTCTCAAAGCACTGGCCTGTCACGATTATTAAATCTGGGTCTCAAACCAATAGTTTATTTTCTACCGAATGAAACTCTACGTAACCTCATTCCACTTCTCTGAGCTGGTACCCCCCCCCCCAACACTTAGGATCATGTTTACGGCCCACCCACCCACCTACACACACACACACACCCACCTACACACACACACACACACACACACACACACACAGCACTAGTTAACCTAGGTATGAAATTACTTTCCACTGGTCATATTTGTATATTTTTGAATTTTCAGCAAAGTTAAAAAATTAATTTAAGTTATCAAAATAATCGAATAATCAATTAGTGAAATCGAATTGTGGTAGAAATGAAAGATTTTCGATGCATCAAATCTAAGTAATCATAATCAACTCAAATCACCAATGATTTCAGAATTAGAATCAGAACACTTTTATTATCCTGAAGGAAACTGCTGAAATTGCTTATTTACATCCCTAGTTGGAACATCTCTTAAAAGTAATGGTGGTTTTTCTGGAGGGAGGTAGGAAGGAGGGAGAGAGAGAGCCATCGGGCACACCCACCCTACTGATGAGGGCGCTGAGCTCCCCAGGACTCAGCCCATCATACACCCCTGTGAAGATGGGCATGGCGATGACCATGTAGCTCAGGAAGCCCCCCAGGTAGTCGAAGGTGTTCACCCCAACTGCATGGAAGAAGGGCCACAGTGTGGTCAGCATCCACAGTTAGTCGATGGAGGCCTTAGTGCCGCTCTGGAGTGCACTGACTCACTGGCCGGTCACTATGCCAGCAAACGGAAGCCTCAGTGCTGCTCTGGAGTGCACTGACTTGCCCGTGGGTCTCCCATTCTACTCTATGGCATGTTTGGTGTAATCAAGCACGCTTAGACGTTATTTAACCAAACTGCCAGTTAATGCATGCAAAGTTGCAACAGTACAAAGGAGTCAGAGGTACGAAGGATGCTGATGCCCTTAGTAAGAACCCAAAGACCTGCAATTCACATTGTTATCGATGGGCCTCATGTGGAGGGAATTCCTGTTAAAGATGAAAGATAAAAATAGATATAAAAACGGCTTTGAAACAGTGACGTCTACAGTCACCTGCTCAAGAAAGTCTTCTTGTTTAATATTACTAAGCATGAGCACATGCTGAGAGCAGGAATGATGGGCTTCATACTGTATAGCCAGAACTCCTTGGTCATCAGGCTCCTCTGGGTCTGCAGGAGGCGCTGCAGTCTTCGGTCTGTCCTCATATGCTCCACCTTTCCAGCCCTGTCCATACACACAGACAAGCTACTACAGTCAACCACATCAGGCAGGTGAGCCCACAGCATCCCACTGTGCCTGACTGTGGAACTGCACAAACAAATTTATCAAATAACCTGTTCAAAAATGCATAATACAGTGGTACCTCAGTTCTCAAACTCATTATAACTTGAATTTCTTAAAAGTCGAACCAACCAGTTTGAAAAAAAATGACCTAGAACTCGATCTGAATCTCAGAAGTCAAACCGTGAACGCCGACCTAAGATAACTTGTACACGTGGGGAAATGAGTCACACGGCACGTCTCTCAGTGGAAACAAAGGGTAACGCTTCAGTCTCAGCCTCGCATTCGCATGTTTACACTAGCTGAATACATATATTTAGACAGTAAAAATACATTTAGACAATGATAGACAATAACAGTAATTATTATATAATAAAATACATTTAAAAAT